CCTCTCACTGCTGTGGCCTCTCCCATTGCGGAGCACAGGTTCCGGACGTGCAGGCTCAGCAGCCATGGCTCACGGGCTTAGCCGCTCCGTGGCATGTGGGATCCTCCCGGACCGGGGCACGAACCCGTGTTCCCTGCATCGGCAGGCTGACTGTCCACCACTGTGCCACCAGGGAAGCCCAGAGATAATATTTTAATGCAATGCTTTAAAAAGTTGAATTGGCAAACTGCAGCCTGCAGCTTGCCTGCTTATTTGTATAAAGTATTATTGGAACAGGGGCTGCCATTTGGGTGAGGTGAGTAAGGCAGGGTCGTGGAAATGCAGGATCAATTCCTGTCTTTATTTCAAGTTTGAATATTTTGTTTATTGTGGATTTCTTTAGCTATTGCATTAATGTATTATTGATCTTGATCACTGCATTTATTGTCACCTCTTAGATTTTGTGCCTGAGATGAGTGCCTTACCCTCTGATGAGAAGATATCAAGATGAAGGAGACCCAGCAGTTAAAGGACACATTCCAGGAAGAGAAAAAGCATTTGTGAAGGCCCTAAGGGCAGGCATGGAAGGCTATCCTCACAGCAAATGGCTCCACGGGGCTGGCACAAAGAGGACAGGAGGAAGAACAGCAGAAGTGTCCAGAAAAGCCATGTAAGGCCAGACCTTGAAGAACTGTTATGTACAAGCCTAAAATAATTAAAATTCTAGAGATGCATCAACCATTTTCATTAGCAATGTTTTCCTCAAACATTTTTGTTTGAGGAAAAGTAACTCTTGGAAGAGCCAAGACAGAGGTATTTAAGAGGCTACTGTAATCACAGCCTAGAAAGTATGGTGACATGAACTATGGAGAAGACAGTGGGAGTAGAGCAGGAGGGCCTGGATTGGCAGACATTTAGAAGATGGAGGGAATGCTGAATAAACATTGAAAATAATTAACCTAAAAGTTTCTCTCCCTGCTCTGCTAGAAACATGGTGATGCTATTCGCCTAGATCGGTCAAACAGGAGGAAGAGTAGGTCTGGGGGAAGATGATGAGGTTAGTGTGGACCCAGGAAATTTGGAGTTTGGGTAGAGGTATACATGGAAGTATCATCACAGGATTGTTACAATCAGGAGGAGAGATTCCAAAAATCCATTGGAACGATAGAGACTATGTGACCAGGCACCAAACTCAGTCCTTGGTTTTGGAGGAGCCAGCTGGGCAATGCAATCAACATGAGGCTGTGGACATCTGCATCGCACAGGAGTGTGTGAACCTCTGAGCATCCTCCATGCCCAGCGCTCCCCTCAGAGAAAAACTCATCGGTGAGTCGTTGTAAAGTTGCAAAGCCTGTCACTCTAGTCATGACTGAAGGAACCAGGAATTGGTGCCCAGGTCAAAAGCAGCTATGGATTCTAGTGAAGGAGGTCAACTAGCAGAGAAGTGATTTGGTCCCAAAGTCCACTCTTTGTGTGGGAAGGTGATAAAATGCCCTTAGTCCGGGCTTCCCTGGTGGTGCAGTGGTTGAGAGTCTGCCTGCCGTTGCAGAGGACACGGGTTCATGCCCCGGTCTGGGAAGATCCCACATTCCGCAGAGCGGCTGGGCCCGTGAGCCTTGGCCGCTGAGCCTGGGCGTCTGGAGCCTGTGCTCCGCAACGGGAGAGGCCACAACAGTGAGAGGCCCGCATATCGCAAAAAAAAAAAAAAAAAAAAAAAAAAATGCCTTTAGTCCAAAAGCAGCAGGGATTCATGGATGCCTGTTCTGAGGTAACAATAAGATGACTGAATCACTTGGGGAGCTGTTGTATCTTGTTTAACAATGAGCTGTTGACAGTTCTCCCTCATACCTGCTGTCAGTTCCGTCTGGCCTCGGAATCCCTGGGATTCAGCCCAAACCTGCAGCAGCTAAGATGGGTTTTGTTGCTTTCTCACTATTTGGTAATCCCTACAAGGCCCTGCCATTTCATATAACGTGAGCAGGTCTTTTCCATACAACCTAAAAGGCTATAGGTGAGGTAAGGCCCGTTTCACTAGGGGAGCCAGAAGACCAAAGCCTGAGGGCAAGGTGTCAGAAACCAGAAGCACAGAGCCAAGGAGGTTAGAACATAGACACATCCCAGGAACAAAACTGAATCATGAGCCAGCACAGGAATCAGAGCCTGCAGACTGACAATGGGGAGCCTAACAATGAGCCCCAACAAAATTCATTCAACAGTGACCTGGACAAATCACTTCTCTGTGCCTCATTTTCCTAATCTGCAAAATGGGGGTAACCTTGGTACCTTTGGCATGGGGTTGTAATGAGGACTAAATGAATTAAATGTGTGATGTCCTTACAACCAGGAAGATAGTAAACATTATGTAGATGGCTGTTAAAAATAAACTATTTACTTTTTAAAAAATTGACTGGTATCAGCCCATTTCTCCCTTCTTAGACGTTTTGTAGCTTATGATACATATCACAACTAAAGTTAACCAATTGCCAGATATACACAAGACCAGCAAATTGCTCGATTAAGCTTGGGGTTACGTTTTCTCAGTTTGGTTTATTTAACAATTTTACTCAGGACTGCTAGGACATACATTCCCCACTGAATCTGTGGGAATGAGCAGTTGTGTCTACACTGGATATTTAGGGTTTTTTTAGTTTTTTTTGATTTTTTTTTGTGGTACGCCGGCCTCTCACTGTTGTGGCCTCTCCCGTTGCGGAGCACAGGCTGCGGACGCGAAGGCTCAGCGGCCATGGCTCACGGGCCCAGCCGCTCCACGGCATGTGGGATCATCCCGGAACGGGGCACGAACCCGTGTTCCCTGCATCGGCAGGTGGACTCTCAACCACTGCGCCACCAGGGAAGCCCGATATTTAGTTTTTAAGGTTACTTGTAGGGAGAAAAATATCATCCTGCTCTGGTGTAGTCCCTAATAAGGTCACCAATCAACAGTAAAAGAACATCTTTCCAAGTGAAGAAACAACTATTAACAAAATCAGTTGCTGTGTATGTCCTTTATTTCCATAGGCTAATTTTCTATTTGATAATAAGCATCAGCTTTGATTTTTTTTCTATAAGATATGCAATTTCTGATCCTAAAGTAATTCTTCTAATTGATATATATGCAATTTATTTTATACAATTTTCAATTGACCAGAAAGAAAAGAAAGAGAAATTTTCATTGAGAAGCTACTGTGGTTTATGTACTATGCTCTTCACTTTTATATACATTTTTCTCATTAAATTCTCATTGCAAGCTTATAAGTTTAGCAATATCATCCCCACTTAACATGTAAATAGAGAGAATGAGAGCAAGGGGGAAGACGAAAGCAAGCAAGTAAGAGAGAAGGAGAAAGAGAGAAACTAGAAATGTTTACTTCTCTTATAATATTGAATCCAGAAGATCATATTACATTGTAAATACTTTTTTGCCCACATTTTCATAAATGATGAATTCTACATTAACCATGAAATAATTGAGATAATGCAGTGCTTTGTTTTGAATTTTAAATTTCTTTTGATTTCAGGCCCTTGTCTGTTTTTTTTGGTTTGTTTATTTTTTTCTTTTGGCTGCACCACACGGTTTGTGGGATTTTTTTGTTCCCCAACCAGGGATTGAACAGGGACCCTCAGCAGTGAGAGCTCAGAGTGCTAACCCCATTGGACTGCCAGGGAATTCCCAAGGCCCTTGTCTTCTAAGAACCTCCCAGAGAATATTCACTCTGCTTACCCCTGGTAAATGCCTGATTTGTGATGTCTTTCCTTCCCACTAGACTCCCCAACAATGAGAGTACAGGACTGCCAAAGAGCAAAGATTTAGTGCTGCGTTTTAACATGACTTAACTCTAACAATTTGGAGCCTGTTGATTTAAGGTTTGATGGAGAGTCTTTCTGGGACATGTGTCTTCTTGTTTAAAAACACTCAGAACTTTTGACAATGCCACTGTTCTGTTACAACCAGAAATCTCACTGAAGCAACAAAAAGAGGAAAAGGAAAAGTTATCTAATTTCTAACATTTTTCTTTAACTTCCCAGATTTAGTTGAGCGTTATCCTTGCTTTTTAAGGATCTAAGTTTATCAATTGAGAGGAGTGTCTCTTTTACCCAGTAAGCTCCGTGAAAAAAGCTTCAAAACTTCTTTGTTCAATGAAGCAAACATGGTGATCAGAAATATCATTAAAATTATTATCCTCTCAACTCATCTTTCTTCTATATTTATTCTTTAGTGTAGCCTTCTAAAAGCACTAACAAAATACAAGAATAGCCACTGCAGAAAATTATCAACTGATAAATTACATTAGTTAAGGGATTTTTTGTTTGTTTTGTTTTTGAAATAAAAGTAAATGAAGTCTACTTAACTTGAGCAAAATAATAATTATAAATAACTTTATGGGAATACTGAAATATTTATCAGAATCCAGAAAAGAGTACAAAGGTCTTGGAAAGTACAGGAATTTAGGAAGCTCTGGGTACCCAGTAGCAGAAATTCATGGATTTTCTAGAATGCAGTCTAGAGTTACTGAGCTTCGAGAAACTTTCAGAGCCTGTGTCTTTTCAGTCAACAATTCCAAATTCCTGGAAGGGAAAATCTGATTGATCTAGCTAAGGTCAGGTGATCACCCTTGGATCTGCTCTCTAGAGGGTTCCACATATCACACACATGCACACACACACACACAAATGTGTGCAAGGATGTTTCTGTCATGGGGGACCCAACACTCATTAGTGGTAACCAAACAACCACTCTCATGATTAATACCAATCATGTCCCAGGAAACGCTGTCTCTCTTGCCATTTATCTTAAAAACACAACATGACTGCATCTGAATGCCATGAATGTTTGGGGTTGTGCCATTGCTAATGTCAGAGATGGAGGCTGCTTTGGAGCATGAGGAGGACTGGAGTGGCAGAAGCACATAGGTAACAGAAAGGGTAAAATAATTAACCTGAAATCCTGCTTCTCAGATACTATGAATTCAATGAACTCTTGTATGATAAAGTGCTTTTTCCTAGTAGTGCTGAAAGTCAAGTGTCTTGTTTCTCTTTGTGTTCCAATCTGATTCCAAATTAGTGCAGTATTTGAAACAGTTGCTTTTCAGGGCTCAGGACCGTTTTGCCACAGTAAACAATTCATATTACTCTTTAACTTGTATATATGTAGATCTCAATGTAATACTATGAAACATGTTACCAGCTTGATTTTTTTTTTCTTACATTGGCAACTAGAGGAAGCCCGAACACTAGAATTGAAAACAATTTTATTTGTATAAAAATTCTTGATATGATGTTTTAGATTTTTTCAAAACAATTTAATTTTTATTTAAAACTTTGATATTCAATAATTTAATTTGTAGTTTGACGTTTGGTGTTAATAGATCACTTAAATGTTTTAGTAAACAACATTAAAAATACTTTTATTATTTTCAAACTTTGCATTTAATTTAATCCCCATTTTTTAAAAATGCAAACTTTATCCCTTTTAAATATAATTTCACTTGATTCTTTAATCAATTTTCATCTAAAATCATAATACAAATTGTGCTATTGTCTTGGTATTAATATTATAATTTGCGATTTCTTTAAATGCAGACAAAAAATCATTTCTGAGAATAAATAAGAAATGATTTGTGAATTATGTACATTTTTATTACTCACCCTAGCACTGTCAGCCCATCAAATGTACATTCACGTATATGCAATAATTATATTGAGTCATCTTGATACTTTGGCAACTTTTAGTCATAAAAGTCCTGGCTTTACACACATGTCATTATTTTGTCATTTGAAGCTATATTTGTCAAGATAGAAGGTTAGAAGATATATAACAATGTGTTAGTTTGATTTGTGATTTAAATATCTAGACTGTAGAAGTTAGTCAATATTCAGTCAAACTCCATTTGACTCTTGCACAGGTCTCTTAATATTAGAGGCAGAGTAGCATTTATGATTTCCTCTTTATAACCTCTC